AAAAAAAAAAAAATTGCAAATCCCAGCAAAGAGGATGCGCTCCTGTCCCAACCTGTGCTTTGTTTTCTCAGTGTTGTAGGTTCCAGCTCCATCATTGCCTACGCCGTCTTTCAGAACGCGGTGCGGTCCCCCGAGGTAAGGTCTGCGCCCCTTTTCCCCCCTGAGCCGAGGTGTTGGGACCTCGCGTGGGCCAGGCACCCTGCTAGGAGCAGCTGCAGGACTCTGTGGTTAAACCTGGTTTAACAGCTGGGAGGCAAAGGGCTTGCCAGGAGCTTGGCTTTTTGTCCGTGAAATGAGTTGAAGGGATTAACCTTGGACTGCACCCGCACGGGGAGAAGCAGGTTCCTGAGCCCTGCGCTTTCTGCTGCTCCAGGAAAGTCATTCAGACACGTCCTGGGAACAGGGATTTGGGAGAAAAACGCCTGGAGGGCTGAGGAGCTGTGTACAAACTGCTGAAGTGCAAATTGGAGGTGCCCCAGGAGGAAATGTATTTACAGGTGTCCGTCTTTGGGTATTTCTGAGTAGTTTTTCCAGGCAGGTGTTCTAAAACTGAGATAACTCAAGGATGCTGCAAAGTTCAGGCAAAAAGAGAGCAGGCTGGGAAGCAGTTTGTTGTGCTGGGCTCGGCAGCGGGGCTTTGGGAGATTCACCCTGGCTGTGTGCAGGAGCCGTGAACATTCCTGACGCTGGAGCCGTGGGATTTGGCTGCAAACCTCCCTCGGAGTGGGACTGTCCGGCCGTGCACCGCAGATCCGACAGGAACGCAGTGCTGGGCACATCCCGGGAGCATCCCGCAGGACCCCACGTGTCTGGGGTGTATCAGACGTGCTGAGCAGGTGACACGGGGACCGTAGCCCTCCATGCCCAGCCTGGCAGGCTTTGCTGTCCACACACAGCCCCTCTGTCTGTCCAGGACCTACCGGAGGCAGAGAACAGAGCTGGTCTGTGTGAAGCTGGGGTTATGCCGTCCAGGATTTGCAGCTGGCTGGCAGCCCCATCTGAGGACCACGCAGATAACGGGTTACTGCTAAGAGCAGTAGGACAGCAGAGCTGGCAGCGATGTCATAACAGCGCTGTGTTTGTACATCCTTCGTCTTCAATGGTCTTTGTACATTGTGGGTTTGGTCTGCAGCCCAGAGAGCAGGACTTCCAGGGAATGCAGGGAGTTATCCCAGAGAAGGAAGGCGTGCAGGCAGGCAAGCGACTGCCCCATCGCTGGGTGAAGCAGGGTGGGGAGGAGAACACAGGTCCAGGTTTGCAGCGCAGATTTGCACCCCTCGTGACATGCAGGGTAGCTGTGCTCCCAGGCAGCCAGCCTCCAGGAAACTCATCGAGAACGAGCTGCGGAGATCTCTGTGCGTTCCCGGGGAGGAATGAAGGCTGGGACTTTTAGTGCCGGGATGGAAAACCCACCTGAGCTCATCCTGCACAAGGTGCACATCATCCACCACATCTCCTGCGCCTGGAGAGCTCCGGACGTGGTTCTCTCCTGGGGTCCTGCACTCTGGGGTGACAGGGTCAGGGAAGGTGTCCCGATGTGACTCAGCAGCTTCGGCTCGTTTACTTCCATGGCTAGAAGCCTGCATTACTCAGGAGCCCTTGTGCTGTTGGTCATATGATGGGGCTGTGGCTTGGGAGCTGCTCGTGAGCCACGCATGGCTCCAGGTCACACAGATGGACCCGTCCTGCTCGAGGGAGTCCAGATGTTTCTGCTCAGATTATTTCTGCTAATCCAGATAGGAGGGATGGATACCAGCTGTGACTTGTCTGCATCAGGCTTCCAGGCTCTTGCTCTGCTGCCAGGGGAGATCCGTCGCTGGTGTTTCAAAAGCGACAAAATCTTCAGTAACTTCCCCATGGCCTTGTCCCCATGTCTCTGGTCTGAAGTGGAAATTTGTAAACAAAGGGGCTGGAAGAGATCCATATCGAAGCTTGCCACAAACAGTTTATTCCCTGAGTCATGAGGCTCCCGAGTAAAATGTTTCAAAATAAACAGCTCTGGAGGCTGGGAGGAGAGCAACGTTATAAACACTTCCCCTCCTGCCCCCAGCCTAGGAAATCAAATATTGCCTTCTGGACGCTTGTTTCCTGGCTCTAGGGGGTCAATAAAACTCTTGAGCCTGAGCTAAATCATTGACAAGAGATGATGGCAAGCAACGAGCAAAGCATTTCCTCTGCCGTGTCCGGGTCCTGTGCGGGCAGATGTCCCTGGGCGATGGCCAGAGCTGAACCAACACACGTGCTCCAGCCTGGCAGCTCATCTGAACCATTACGTCTTTACATTCCCTTCCTCTATTTTATAAATACCATTTGTTGGGGTTTTTTTATTTTCCCTTTTGCAAGTGAGAACCATGCTGCCTTTCACTTACCCCTGTGGCACCTATTCCTTCATTCAGGTCTGGGCCAAAATAGCTCCTCAACCCCAGCGTGGTGCCCTCTCCAAGGGCACGTGTTGCTAGAGAAAGGCGTCACGTGTTTGATTGCAAAAGTTGTTTCTTTGCTTATTTCGGAGCTGCTTGGTTTTCACCTGCCGTGGTTACAAACTGGACGGTGTCCCCAGCCTCTGACACCTGCTGGGGCTTCAATTCTGCAGCAGCGAGGAAAAACCTGCTTAACAAAAGACATTTGTAAATCTTACTGAGCTCTTTCTCATTGCTCACGGGAACAAGGCAAATATAACACAACGCAGCAGGTGGCAAACATTTACCTAAGGACAATATTGAGGCAAATCTCAGCAAAAGCTCAGTTCCATTAAAAAAAAAAAAAATTCTTAAAATCAAGGTCTCTTGAAATATTTCCATGCTGTGTTTAGCATTATAATTTCCTGTAGGGGGAAAAAAAAATAATGCCATCATTTTCTCTGCAGGATGCTGAAAAGTAGGTACCAAAGATGACAATTAAGAATCTTGATAATTAGGCTGCTTTTCCAGAGTGCCTGCTCTCCTGCTAACACAATGTTGGCCGGAATTCTGCACCGATGTTTTCCTGCAGTGTTTACAGCCCACTTGGCCAGTGCATGCAAACTGGAAATGGGCTGGAAACGGCCGTTAGAGGAGACGCGACTCTGTTCCAAGGAGATGCAGCGTGCAGCGGAGGGGCTAGTGCCTCTCACAGCGAAAATTAATCCGACATGTAAAATAGATTCAGCCTTAGTCACCACCTGAAATGACATTGGACACAGAGGAAAAATGTCTGTTTCCAGTTATTTCAGACCCAAAGAAGGGTTTTATGCTTCCCAAATATTGTATTTCTCTATCAGTTCATTTAACAAATAACTTAGTTTCTCCTGGCCAACCTGTCCCATTCTGCAAAATCGTAACGTTCTGGATGTTTGAGATATTTTGTGGAAGATTTGATGCTGCTCTTGGCTCCTGGGGCATTGCTGGGTGGTGGTAGAGCCGGGTGTCTGCACTGAAACAGCTCCTGAGAGCAGGAATCAGCCTGGGGTTGTGTGCGAGGAGAGCTGCCTTGCCAGCAGAGCTGGGGGACAAAAGCGTATTTAGATGAGGATGCTGCTGCGGGTGGTGGTGGGATCATCGCTCAGACCCACTGACAGGTTCCGTTTCTCCCAGGTTCGCCCACTTTTCTACCTGAGCCTCTGCGACCTGTTTCTGGGCATGTGCTGGCTGGCTGGAACGCTCCTCTACAGCACCCCGACCTCGCAGCAGGACCTCATCTGCTATAACCTGCAGGCGACAGGACAGGTGAGTGGCCTGGGCATCACCCTTCCTGCCGGTGCTGTGCGTCGTTTGCCGTAATTAACCGCGCTGGTGATCGGAGCACGGCCGTGGGGCTGCTCCAGGCGGCTGTGGCAGAGGTGCCCTGTGTGAACCTGACTTATCAGATCTCGGTGCTTTGTGTGTAGAACGGAGATAACGACGCTTGGGTTTAGGTACAGCTGGTTTGTGAGAAGCAATGAGGAAGGCAAAGAGAGGCTGGGATTTTGTGGTCGCAGCGTTCAGGTTGCTTGTGTAAAGCGAGTAGATGGGGCTTAATCTGTTTCCTGTTGGACCTGTGCCGACAATGATCTCTGTGCCTCTCACACAGCAGCTTTTTTTATTCCTCTTTGTGCTTCCTCCATCCTGGGCAGGAACAGACATATTCTGTGATTCGCTTGAGCTCGTCCTTACAGCATTAACAACATACAAACAGCCCTGCCCTTGCTATCCTATCCTGGCCCTATCCTCTCTCCAGTAATCCCAAGGATGCTCAGGGGCTGCAGGATGCTCAGGGGCTGCAGGATCTCAGGGGCTGCTCCACCAGCGCAAGCTCAGTGCCGTGCCCCAGCGATTCAGCTGCTTTCCAGCTGATTTCGTGTGCTGGAGCCTAATTGGAGTGGAGTGAGTGAAATACTGTTTTCCTGACACTTTGCTTTTGTCCCACCGAGTTCCCATTTCAGCATGAACCTTTGCAAATCGCCGCTCTCAAAAACCTTTGCGGGGTACGGCCAAGCTTGGGGCAGAGCGGCGGTTCCCAAGCAATGATCTCTGGGTTAAACAGTTTCCTTTTAAAGGACTCACAAAAAAGTGGTTGGGAAGAACAAGCGGCTGTCGGGAGCTTTGATGTGTGTTGTGTGGGCTCGGGCGGGTCCCTGGTACCCACAGAGGGGAACTGAAACATCCGTACGGAGCGGCAGCACCCGGAGCTGCTGATGCTCTCGCCGTACCTCAGGAAGGGCAGGGAAGCGGCTGCACGTGTGGTGTGGAAGTGTTCCTGCTGCTCTGTAGCCCTGCAGCCCGGGGTTGTTCTGACAGCTGTTTTTGTGGGTAAAACCGTCATATTTGTGATGGTGAGAGCAGCTGCTCCGCTCCTGGCTTCTCCCCGGTTTCTCTGGGTGAACCTGGAGGTGACTTGCCCGCTTGGGAATGATGCAGAACAATACTGAAGATGTTTGCCAGCTGATGGGACAGGGGAAGGTGAGAAGAGCCTGGGAGAGGCTTTTCAGAGCCGGGAGGTGGAAGGAGCGTGGGGGACAGAGGGATTTTTGGAGCTGTTTCCCTTGTAGCTCTGCCAGAGGGACGGCTCTTCATGCTGGTGTGATCGTTGGGTGGGCTGGAGCAGAGGGTGCACTGCTGGAGGAGAAGCAGGTTGGATGGAGACAATACCGTCATTTCTCAGCAGAGATGCTGGGAGCATGCTCTGCTCCCCTGCATTCTCACTCTTTTAAGCCCTTGCCTTTCCAGCCTGTGGCTGTGCTTCTGGGGACATCAGCAAGGGACAGAGGCAATGCAGGAGCCTTAGTTCCAGAAAGACAGTGTGGGTAGGCAAGAGCTGGCCTTGGGCAAGTCCTTACAGGACGGTCACAGTGCTGTGGGGAGGTGCAGGGTGCCTGTCACATCCAGACCTCGTCCGTAGGGTCGCTGGGCTTCTCTCCTGCGTGCCACCAGCAGACTGTCCCCGGCAGAAGGACTGCCAGGGTGGCAGAGCCGGCTTGCACCTGGCAAGAGCTGTCGCTGCTGTTTGCTGTGAATTAAAGCAAAGGGAGCACTTGCCATAGCAACCGTGCCCGCACGACGCACGTGACACGGGGCAGGACACCTCCTTGCTAAACAACCCAGTGATGTCCTTGCCTGGTGGGAACGCCTCGTGCGTAAGCAGGAGCCGGTAACAGGTTTAACCAGCAGCTTCTGCAGAGCAGAAGTGATCTGTAACCTAATGAAACATCTCCTGGCCCTGTTGTGCCGGTGCAGAGCGGAGAATTCTCGCAAAGGTTGCATTCCTGGGTGTCTCATAAACACAGGTGGCTTTTTTGCACACCAGCAGCTCAAAGATGTAAAATGCACGGAGCAGCGAGGGTGGGGACAGGCTGGAGGCTGCCCAGCACCTGTGTTTGCAGATGGCAGCCCTCGGAGAGACTCACCCCACGGTCCCTGTGATGTGGGTGTCCCAAGGGATTGCAGGGTGGTATTTTGGTTTATTCGGCCTGTTTACCATCTCTGTATCACCACAGGCTGACGTTACAGCAGATGGAACTCCCCTGACATCCATACCGTGTCGTAAAAGAGATTGCTTTATTTCTTGGACTTCCCCTGTTCCAACTCCTGGTCAATGTGAAATGTAAATACTGCTCCCTCCAGATGTCCCTTGACTTTGTTCTCTCCTCCTCCTCGCCTTGCCTTGGCGTTACAATAAGAAAGTCCAGCACAGAGACTGTGGTTGTAATTACACAATTCCCCCACATTCTTCCAGTCCAGTTCCAGTGGCCTCGTAACGTCCTGGCAGGCTCCGCTCCCGGGCACAATGGAGAGCCACAGACGTGTTATAATGAGGGACCCGCGTGTCCCCCAGCCTTTGCTTTATTTCCTCATGGTGAACCCTTGCAGGGCTGTCCACAGCCCCCAGGCTGGGGCTGGGGAGAGCAGAACTCCCTTCGCTTTCTTCTGGCAACTTTACAAGTGGCTTCTGGTTCCCTGGTCCACAAAAGCAGGCAGCGCGGACACCCTGGGAGCCTCTCAAAGGCATTTTGAAGTGCAGGAGAACAAGCTTTCTGGACTGTTTTGTTGACCTTCCCTGGAAGTAATTGAAGAAAGGCAACAAACCCTCATTAAACTTCATCTAATGAGCTGGAAAGTCCCTGTGATATTCGTGCTGCAACGTAGCAGCCCCTCGGATTCAGCCTTTTCAGAATGAGTCCAGAGCATTTTGCAGCCTCAGGGAAGGAGACCGAGCTTATTTAGTGACTGCTTCCCTGGACTTTGATACCACCAGGCTGGCAAACCTGTGCTCCTTTTTGGCAAAGGGCAGCAAACCCACAGAAAAATTTGCTTGTCCAGCCCTTCCTCTTTGCCTCTGCCGCTGAAGCGTGTGTTTCCTCTAACAGCCCAGCAGACGCGTAGATAGAGCGTGGTGAGGCAGCGCGGGTTGTACTCGGCTGCCTGGAGCAACCATGGGCTCAGAAACAAGTGCGAGAAAGATTTGGGGTTTTTTACAGGAAGTTTTAGATATTTGGTCTCACCTCAAGCTGGAGCCAAGGGCTGTGAAACCCTCCGTGCGGAACAGGGTTCTGTAGCTTTTCTTTCCTCCTTTTTTCCGTGGAGAGAAAAGGGCTCTCGGGGTGTTAACTCTGGCTTAGGGTAGATATTCTCTACCGCCTCTTTCCTCTTTAAATCCACTATTGTTTGCTGTTTCCGTGAATTCACTGTGCAGTGAGCTCATTACGGGAGAAGCACATCCAAGCGCCGCATCTGGGTTGTGTTTTGGAGTGGATGCAGCAGAGAGAGGGTCAAAGTGCCTTTGAACCCTTTGCTGCCAGGATTTGGGCCAAAAAATGAGCCAAGTCACAAGATTTGTATTTTTGAGACAGTCTGCTGTCGTTAGTTCTCCTGTCCCTGGTCTGGGGCCAAAGTGAAGCTGCCTCTGTGCGGTCCAAGGCACCGCGCCTCTACCTGGCTCTTCCCAGTTGGTGTCCCACTGCAACCCAGTGCAGATGAGCTTCGCTTTCCATGGGCTTTGGGTTCATCAGTGACGAACTACAAGTGCTACAGGAACTGTTATTACAGGACTGAAATACTGTCTGTTTGTATTTCTCAGATATTCTATGTGGCCTCTTTTCTGTACACCGTCAACTACACCTGGCACCTCTACATGGACCTCAAGGTGAAATACAATCAGAACCTTTTCAGGATGCCCCCCCAGGTGGGTACCAAGGTCTAACGGGGGGGTTGTGGTGGGGTTTAGGAGGTGTGTACATCACAGTACATCTCACCACGAGGACTTCGAAGGCCCTTCTGCCCCACGGTGGGATGAATTGCTGTATTTTGCCCACTGAGGTCAGCAGAGTCTCAGATCTGCTGTAGGATCTCTGCAGAAGATGAGGCAGGCAAAGCCCAAGGGCAGTGCACATCGCAGAGCAGAGAACGCTCAGCCCTGGATATTGGTGAAGTTCTGCTGCGGTTGGAAGAACAGCAATTCGCACCCACAAAGTAACTGGTGTGGTGCCATCGCTGCCTTCTGCCCATGCACGGAGGAGGGGACAGGAAAGCAGGGAGTGCCTGGAGAGCCTGGAGCTGAGAACTGACAGTTTCTGTGCTTCCCAAGTGTCATACAGCGTTCGAGAGCATCAGTAAATATTGTAAGAATTTGAGATAGGGGGTGTGACGGAAGAGAGCTGGTGATAACAGGAGCAGCTGGCTCTGTGAACAGTGGCCAGTCCTCACTTCACCATCGCTGGCCTTTACAAAAGCCCTTTGGGGAACCGGCGTAATCGCTGGGAACCGAGGAACAAGGACATAGCGCTCAGAAAGACTCTCTGCGTTGCAGACTGAACAAACACTTCACACGCCGCGTGACCAAAATCTCTCCTTGTGGTTGTTTCATTCCTCCCACCCAGCTAAATGTCACCGGCATGGTGCTCCAGGGGTCTGGCTGCAAGATGATGGATTCCTCATGCAGCTCTTTCCACGAGCCCATCAGCCCCACTTCCTTACGGAGCCTTGCCCTTCCCCAGAGATCTACTGTGCACAGCGAACTTTGTATCGCAGCTGTTCCCTGTGTTGGTTCGGGAGCAGCAGGCTGGGTGGATCAGTCTGTATTTCAACTGCTCTTGTCCCTAGGGTTTGGATCCACTGGTAGGACTGGTTTCCCCCCATTCAAACCACAGCACCTCCCATAAGTGAGTTCCCCACCACCGCAGCCGTACTGGGGCGGGGATGCTGGCTGGCAAAGTGCTTTCCTGGTGAGCTGAGACCAGGACACTCCAAATCACCCACATTTCTCCATCAGAACAGGAACAGGGCTGGGTTAAGGGCATGAACGGTACAAAAACATGAGTAAGTTACACCAGAGAGCTCATCAAGTGTCTGCTCCTTGCCCAGGTCCAAGTTCCCTTCCCACATCCTCTGTTCCTGAAGGAGAACACCCCAACGAGCGGGTGGAAGCATTGGTTGCTTCTGTTTTAAACGAGCACAGGCTGAACTCGCGGTGTTGATCCAGCGCCAAGTGGAAACAAACATTAGTGCTGGGTCTGGGCGTTAATCAGCGTTTGAAGGACCCTCAGCTGCTGAAGTGCTCCCTGGGAGCTGGCTCCTGTGAACCAGCGGCTGTACCGAAACCATCAGCTCATGGAGTTAATCTTTGGATTTTGCAGGTTGTGGATTATGCGAGCTGCGTCGGCCGGATAGCAACGATCTCGTCCAGGTGAGAGTTCATTCTCTCTGGCAGAATGATGTGCTTTGGGTAAACTGCAGTGTGCTGGCCGCTGCTTCCTACTTATTTTGAAGCAAGTTTTACTAAAAGGTGTAAAGTCCATCAGTAATAGCAGAGGCCTCCGAGGGAGAGGGTTTGGGTGTCAGGGCTTTTCTCCAGCCGAGTTAGTTGGAACTATATTAACTGTATCTAGTGTTCCCTTTGCCAATATATCGCCCGCATGAATGGAAGTGCAGAAGTTAGTAAAGCTGATAAAATACTCTTCCAAAGCAGTGTCAATAAAAATGATTTGTAAGTCCTGTGTAGTGACAGGAAAAGAACCAAGCGGTGTTTGGCTGGGGCTAGAGCAGCCCAGTGCAATAACTAATAACCGCTGTTGTCCTTTCTCCGCTCAGCCTCATCCCTTTCCTTCTCATGGTGCCTGTGTTTTGCCTGGGCAACAGCAGTGATTGCTACCAGAACTTCAGCCAGAAGCACGGGTGAGCTCTCTCTGCCAGAGCCCCAGCGCTCCCGTGTCACGGCAGGAGCTCAGCTGGTCCCTTCTCCCCGCAGATGTCTCCTGATGCACATGGAGATAGCCGTGCCCTCCAGCGAGCCGCAGACCCTCAGCGGCTCTGTCTGCCGGGCGATGCATTTCTACGGCATCGGAGTCTTCCTCATTTCCTTCCTCATCAGCTTTGTAGCCATCCTGGTAAGAAACATAGTCCTTCCACCCAGATGATCAGTGTGAGAAGATTTTCCTCTTTTCATCTTTCTGTCTTTGCTGGGATGGGACCAGAGGCCAGGCAGCGTCGGGGGAAGAAGTGTGTGCTGCTGCTTCCCTTTGGAAAGGGTGGTAGGGGAGAGAAAATCTCATCGTGCCACTATATAAATCCGTCTGGAGTCCTGTGTTCTGTCAACCCATCCCATTTAATTTTTCTCATTTTTATTTACCACTGCATTAATTAGATAAATTCTCCATTCTAAGCAACATAACACTCATAGTTTAGCTCTTGGCTGTCAAACAAACAAACAAGTTAAATTGGATGTCATAGGTACGAGTGCAATGCCACCTTCAATTTTCTTCAGTCCTGGATGGCATTTTATTTAACAGAGCTAGTGATTGAGGCCACGAGGATACGTGAACAGCAGGAGCTAGCAGGTAGGGAAGGCTCAGAGCGTGGCAGCAGAGATCGCCTCCTGCACGGGTCACTGCATGGATCAGTTCAGAGGCTCCAGTTCAGCCAAAGTCACGTAGAAATCGCTGCTCTGCCCCAGGGAGCACGCTGGTGCGTGAAAAGGTTTGAGAGATTGGAAGGGGAAACTCTGTCCTGCAGGAACCAGCCAGATCAGAGCACAAAGTACAAACACCGCTCTCTGCTTGTTCTTTTCTAGGTTATACTCAGTCAAGCCCGAGGTTTGTACAAAAGGTTTGTGAACTCCACCGGATTCCTGGGGGACCAGCAGTGGGCCATGATTAAGATGGTGGAGCAACGAGTGGTTTTCTACCCCATCGCGTTCTTCTGCTGCTGGGCCCCAGGTTAGCAGGGAGCTGAGTTAACGCTCCCAGTATTCCCCTAGGACGTGGTGCCTGGCGATGAAACTGCAAAGCGGTGGGGTGAAAGCAATACCCTCTTGTCCGTCCCTTCCCACAGCTGTCCTCCTTGGAATACTGCAGCTGACAGTGTCAACAAACAGCAAGATCTACATGGCTCTTCTCATCCTGCAGGTAAATCTCTTCCTCCGTGTGAACAGGGAAAAGTTTGCCTGTTTCTAGTCTCTGCGAGACAAATCATGTTTGTAGCCACAAAGATCATAAGTCTGATTGATTTATGCTTTTGGTTGGCAAAGATCTTTGTCAGTTGTTTTGTGTTTTTTTCAGAGGCTTGAAAAGGTCTTGGTAGCCAAAATCACAGCAGCGTGGCAAGTGTAGAAAACAGGGCTAGAAGGGATCCCCAGAAATCAGTTTATTCCCTTTCTATGAAAATCTCCAAATGCAATTCCCCCTGACACTGGTCCAGCTGCTTGAGGCAGCATTTAGCGAAGATTATTGAAATAACCGCAGGATCCCTGTATCGCGTGGGGATGCAGATGGAGCAAATCCTGCTGGGAGGGAGAGGCTTGGCATAACGTGCCGGGTCTGACAGCCTGGCAGGGAGCCGCGGGGTGACCTCAGAGCCCTCATCTCCCCCGTGGTCTCCCCCAGGCTCTGACAGCAGCTTCCCAGGGGCTTCTGAACTGCATCGTGTACGGCTGGACGCAGCACATCTTCCTCTCCCTCAAACGCAACGCCTGCCGGGACGTCGACACGCAGACTCCCCTCCTGCGCTCCCAGAAGAAGTTCTACGCCAGCACGCTCCCCGCCAGCCCGCCAGACGCCGAGGGGTCCACGTCCACCCTGCTCTGAGGAACCCCTGCGTTGGAGGAGAACAGGCAGCGTCCTAACGAGACCTCATTGTGTTTGAACAACATCAGGCAGAGCCGGTATCGGGCTGTCTGGGGTGAACTGTGTTGCCAGCTGTAGGGCTGGAGGAGCCTGAGCAGGGCAGCCAGGGACAGACACTTTCAGTGGAGGTAGTTATTTATTTTACAGGTTTGTATGGATTGTAAAGGGATTCTTTACAAGGTAAATATTTAGTACAGACTTTCTCCTTAGGGAAATATCTCTAGAAATGCAGCAAATTCTGTGTAACAGCTCAGAGATCTGGTACAGCTCCTTTGGGGGTAGATGGGCAAAGGATTTTTTTACTGCTCTAAGTATTTGCCATGACAAATTAACAGTAAAGCAAAGGTGAATATTTTTCAATCTCTGACTTTTAATTCACTATCAAAATAAGAACACGTACCGTACTAACAGCCAACGGCAAGGAATGAAAAATTACAAAGCAGCATAAAAAAATCAGCGCTCACTTCTGTGCCCCAGCTTCGTGCACATTTCCTTCTGTTCTTCCTGCCAACTCCTGCTCAGCCACTCTACTCCGAAAAATAACCTCCTTTGACCTGGTGGAGCACCTCTCCTGACCCAGGTGAGCAGGACTGCACATGAATCTGTCTATACCCTTCCAGCTGCTCAAGGGAATTATTTACTGTAAGGTGCCACTGCTCTATAGAAGATAAAACACATCTTTAGCTGCACTGAAAACAACTCTCTAACTTTTATGAGCTTTATTTTCTACCAGCTTCATTTTTTGGGTCTGAAGAAAAATTATTTACATAGTAGGTAATACAAGAAGAGGAAATACCCAGGTTTTGTGTAATTAACTTCCATACAGTTTACACAGTTACGCTGTGTAAATCACTTTGTGTGAAACCTCCTGGGACGAGCTGTCCAGCTTCAGGGGCATACCCACAGGGCCCACAGACCTTTCCAAACCTCAGCTGGTGGGTTTCCTACTGCTTTCATGGTTCTTTAAACAGCTGCTTCTTTTTCTTCGTCATTACTCTGCTCTCCATCTGCAGGAGTCTCACTTCTCTCTGTGGCTGACCTCACACAGAAAAACGCAGCCATTGCCTCTCTGTATTTGCTGACAGCGATGAGGAGAGCGATCAGAATGAGGGTCACGGCAGCTGTGATCCCCATTACCATCCCAAACACTTTATTGTGGACAGCCTCCACCATGGACATCATGAGAGGTGGTGGAGGACCGCTGCCCACGCTCCCTCCCAGCCCGTGGAACTGGCAGTCGGGAGGAGCCCAGCCAGCCTCGCAGTGGCACTGCTCGAGGTTACTGCAAACCCCTTTCCCCCCGCACAAAAGTTTCCCATCGCACTTGGTCCTGCCCATGGCGTCTGTGCACGTCTTGTTAATACAGATCTCATTTGGCCTGCATCTGGTGCCGTCCAGCCCTCCTCCGATATCGGGTGTATTGATGCTGGCGCGGTACGCTGTGCCCCAGCACCAGTCCTCGGGTCCTGGCATCTGGATGATGGTTTTGGAGCTCTTCAGAGCGGGGATCCTCTTCACATTGACACACTGCAGCCTCCCGCACAGAGCGTGTTGGGGTTTACACCCCACAAAAGCAACCTTAACCCTGTCGCCGCCACAGTTGCCAAATTGATCCCCTTTCATATTCTGCAGTTTGAAGCAACTTTCAGGAGCACCCTGAGCTTCCTTCCCAAAGACTTTTCTGCACAGGTTGTCGTAGGTCGCGCATTTCCCGCGGTGGCAGTAGCCATCATCGCTGCAGGGCGTCCCGTCGTGCACGTGCAAATCCTCCAGGCACCACTCAGAGCTCCCATTGCAATATTCAGGCAAATCGCACTCATCCACCTCCGCCCTGCTCTTGTGTCCCGCAGCATGGAAGCCACAGTCCTGACAGCATTGCCCAACGGAGCAGATGGCCCCTGGCTTCAGCCAGCAGCCCTTCTGACAGCAGAGATTGCCTTGGCAGCCCCGTGCCCCCCCACAGTCACACTGCTCCCCCTCATCGACCACCTTGTTGCCACACCGCTTGAAATGGAAGAGCCGGTGGGGCTCTGGGATGTTGCACAGGCAGTCGCCATCCCCGCGGCCGAGCAGGTCCAAGTAGCTCTGCAGGCTGCAGTTGCTGAAAGCCCTAGAGCCATCGAGTGAGTCTCCTGTCATGTAGCACTTGGTGTCCTCTCCGCACACACATTCCTTTGTGTCATGCTTCATCCCTAGGTTGTGACCCAGCTCGTGAGTAAAAATAATGGAAAAGATTATGAAATCTCTCCGTATATGCAAGACAAGGGCTGATTTATAACTGGGGTGGCAGATGCCACCTATGTACGCCAGCCCAACGACTCGTCCGAAGTCCATATAGGTAAATAAATGTGCGATGTCGTAGGTCACCCTCGGAGAGAGATCCCTGTTTCCCCAGGTGTTAAAATTTTCAAGCACAACTTGCATATCCTGGCTGTACCTGATGAAGTTGCTGCGCGTCCAGATCTCCAGCCCGATCAGGCAGATGCGAATCTTCAGGGGATAGTAGGATGTGTCCGACAAATTGATGGTGTCTGCAATCAGAAGCATCACGGAGGTCTCATTGCTCCCTTGGAAGGAAAACAGATAGTGGTCCACCACGACCACTATCTGTATATATCTGTAATATCTGTATATACCGGGGTGAGGGACCCTGGCACGGGTTGGATGCCGTAGCTGAGGTTCCCGATGCCCAGCTGTCCCCTCAGCCCCGCGCAGGTGCTCAGCGTGGCCAGGGACCCGGGGCTGCCCTCCACGTAGCCGCGGTAGAAGCAATCCTCGGGGACATGGGGCTGCTCCACCACCCTTGTCCCCCTGGGCCCGTAGGTGACGACCGGCAGGTTTTTCACCACGAGTCCTCTCTTCTGCGTGAGGTGGACGATGCAGTTCTCCCCCTCCACCCTGAGGATGTAGGACACTTCTCCCTCCACGGCTTTTCCCACCCTGGGGGCCAGTTTCCTCAGCCGGATTATCTCACAGCCGGCGTAGCCCAGCGGTGGCCGATGGCAGCCCGCCCCAGGGAGGAGA